TAAGGGTTCTTTATCGTACCAACGCCTACCGGACACGAGGCCTCGGTTTTTAAGGTCTCATCCTAAGGACCCGCAACTTTCACTTCAAAGATCCAAGCGCTTGGCGAAGGAAGAGTTGCTACCTATTTTTATCGACTTAGGTCAGTCGCGCCCGTGATTCGAAAACACGATCTTCCGATCACGGAGCGAACCCTCTACCGACTGAGCTACCGTGAGGGTGGCATTCTGAGGAAATAGCATGGTTTAATACATATTCGGTATTTATGTGTTTTTGTTAATCAATTTTTATAAAATACATAATGTAACAAGAGGCCCAAGGGCCTTAACGGTCACCTGAGTACAACAATTTAGAGGATCCATAAACTGATAAATGAAGCATTAATTGTTGCCCAATAGCAAGAAAATTAGTACGATTAAGATCAACAAAATAATTGGTCTAGTATCTTTCCCTCTGTCCCCCATTTATCACTATTACCATGCAGACTTTTAACAAAATGTCTATATAATTACCTCTCACATTGGCCTCACTTGGCCTTTGAAGAACATTTGATGATGTTATTTTTGTTTCATTTTTATTCATCTATTATATCCAAGTCTACCTGCTTATTAAAACTATGAAAGTACTTTTTATATTATACTATAAATGTTCTTGCATGATTCTCTTATTCTATTAACCTTTCAAATACATTATCTACAGTGATTAATTATCAAAAGTGAATGGCAAAGGGGAATAACTTCAGTCAATAGAATACAAATTAATAGAGCCCTGGCCCGGACCAGAACACTTGACTAAATGGTCCAGATGTTGAAAATTTACAAATTTGGAAGAGGTACCCTCATCATCATAACTATGCAATTAGTTGAAGATTTTCTAAGAATTCACACATTTTCACTATATTGTCAAATAGAGCCCCCCCCCCCCCCTTTCAGAAAAACAACAGAACCCCTGGGACCACAAGATTTAAAAATTTTGTAAAAGAATCCTTGCTCATCATAACTATACACTTGTTTCTTTGCTTTATAACCAGGAGTAGAAAAAATATTTTGAAAGAAATTATGAATTTTCACTATATAATCAATAGATTCGCTCCCCCCTTCACCAGAACCCCTGACCCAGGGGCCATGAAATTCACAATTTTGGAAGAGGCAGCCATGCTCATCATAGGAATACTTAGTTTATTTCATACCCATGAGCAGAGAAGAAGATTTTCAAAGATATAATGCATTTTCACAATATAAAATTTATAGAGCCCCGCCCTAACACCAGAACCCCTGACCCAGGAGCCATAAAATTCACAATTTTGGAAGAGGCAGCCATGCTCATTATAACTATGTACTAAGTTACTTTATTTCATACCCAGAAGAAGAGAAGATTTTTTAAAGATTTAATGCATTTTCACTATATAATCAATAGAGCCCCACCCTAAAGCCAGAACACCTGCCCCAGGGGCCATGAAATTCACAATTTTGAAAGAAGCAGCTATGTTCATCATAATAATGTACTTAGTTAATTTATTTAATGCTCATGAGCAGAGAAGATGATTTTCAAAGAAATAATGCATTTACACTATATAATCAATAGAGCCCCGCCCTAACACTAGAACCCCTGACCCAGGGGCCATGAAATTCACAATTTTGGATCAGGCAGCCATGCTCATTATAACTATGTACTTAGTTACTTTATTTCATACCCAGGAGCAGAGGACAAAATTTTCAAAGATTTAATGCATTTTCACTATATTATCAATAGAGCCCCACCCTAACACCAGAACCCCTGACTCAGGGGCCATGAAATTCACAATTTTGGAAGAGGCAGTCTTGCTCTACATAACTATGTACTTAGTTAGTTTATGTAATACCCAGGAGCAGAGAAGAAGATTTGATTTTCACAGAAATAATGCACTTTCACTATATGGTCTATAAAGCCCTACCCTAGCACCAGAACCCCTGACCCTGGGGCCATGAATTTCAAAATTTCGGTAGAGGGCTCAATGCTTATTACAATCATGCCAACAGTTTGACTGCTTGATGTCCAGGAGTAAAGAAGAAGATTTTTAAAGATTGCATTAATTTTGGTGGTTCAAGCCCCACCCCTCAGGCCCCGGGGGGGGGGCACGGACCATGAAATTCACAATTTTTGTCCCCCTTTACCCATAGATGCTTTATGCCAAAATTGGTTGAAATTGGTTGAGCGGTTTCAGAGAAGAAGCTGAAAATGTTTAAATGTTAACGGACGACGTACAAAAACGGATAGCAATAGGTCACCTGAGTGACTCAGGTGACCTAAAAAGCTTGAGCTATCATTTCAAGACATCACAGATTACTTCCAATTTCATATCATGCCAATAAGCATTGGTATACATGTATATCTAAAGCTAGAGTAAAGGAAATGTAATATCTCTAGAAAAAATATTTTCTGGGGTGCAAATGTCACCTTTTACAAGACCATTTCTAAGACCTCAAGGAATCTTGGACCAAATTGAGATTTAAAAAAAGTTCCTTAGAAAGCCGCCAATCTGAACAGTCCTAGGTGTTTCATAACATGTTATTAACACGAAAAAAGAAAAAAAAACATCGCAAAAGTAATGAAACACAGTTGATAAAGAGAGAGACTTAATTATACTGAAGGAAGTTTTTTTAGGGTTCATGTACAATGTTGTTGAATTATCGTACAACTGTCCTCTTACAGGAAAATTTTTATAATTGTAAGCAAAACGCATTCATAGCTCCTTTTAAAAGGGGCAATTGCGTTTCGAAATGTCTGTCATAATTACTTTTGGACAATTCTTCTACAATGATTTTGCATTTTTGTTGAGAAATAATTGATTATTTTGACTCTGACACCTAATCACTATTACCTGTCCTCCACCCCAAAATGAACCTTTAATGAATTTAACGCCTGTTTTCATTTGATACCTAAACATCACAAAATACTTATCATTTTGGATGACACCCTAAACAACGATTTTTGTGAACACCCACATTTTATTAAAATAAAAGGACATTCTTTAAATTTTGATATCAAGTTAGTTTTAAAGAATATAAGAGTACATTGGTTTATTATTTGATGAATTGGTTTTACGTGTATCTGAATGATAGTAATACACTGGTATTTTGTTCTTACTATTATGTCGAGGAATCTTGCCATACATTGAATAGGATATCCATCTGTAAAGGACATTAATTTTTTTTGGAAAGATTAATATCTGCTGTACAACTAAAAATATTAAAAGAAATACTTTTTACACATGAGCTAGGAAACGTTAAACTGGAATTCTAAAAACCTCGGAAATGTTTATTTATTCAAATACGTGTATTTGTGAGAGGTTTTTATTTATGCACTTTTTGTTCTTAGTTTTTGCAAAGCTACTAGAGAGAGAGAGAGAGAGAGAGAGAGCATTGAATTCTTATTTCTCGATGTCTTCGGTCCTATAACAGCACCTGGCCGTGCCGACAAATTAAATACCGCGCAACAACCGACGACATCCAGAAATAAAAATTCAATGCTTATATTTATATTCTCAAATATAATTGTTGTCATTAATCTTTATGAATTTTAGTGCCTTTCCGAAATATGGAGATAACGAACAGTATTCAAGCTCAAAGTCCATTTACACAATACAAATCGGGAGCAGAGAAAAATCGGACCTTCAAAAACATCAGAGATGGGATCAGGTGCCATGGAAGAGTGAGCATCCCCTGCCGACAGGTCACATCCGCCTTGTGCTCCTTATCATGATCGGGAAAACTGAAAAAAATCCGTAGATAATTCAGTGTGTAATTAATGTCCCAACAACTAGTATGAAAAACGTCAGTCGGCATGTAACTAAATGATAAAACTGGTGTACTAAATAGACGAAAAAGGCCGTTGTGAAGTGGAAAGTTAATTAATAACGCCAACGAATATTGCGAGGGAAAAAAGACAAATTTTATTTTAAACGTACAATTGTTATATCTTTCCAATATAATAGGGTTCATGTTTTTAATTAAATTGAGCTAAAATATGCATCTTGTTGGTATAGTATACTACCATGTCAAGGTTTCGCGTGTGTTATAGGGCATTGAGAAGTGTATATATCCAATCGATTTCATAAAGAAAAATACAGTTATATATATATATATATATATATATATATATATATATATATATATATATATATATATATATATATATATATATATATGATTTATTTAGTTGCCTGATACCGGGTACCTCTGTTACTTTCACTATCCTCTGGTATGAAAAAATAGAGTTGTGCTCTTTCATAAAAATGGAATTGCGCGGAAAATAAACTCGGCGTTGTTGATATTTATTAATTCCCAATGTTTATTTAAACATTTTGTTGTGAAATGCATTGTAAGGAAGAAAATTATTTATATGTAGGCTAGAAACAACATTTTACAAATTATAAAAATGCATACTCGATAATTTTGCTTTCAATTCAAAGATTCTTTGGTCTAGTTTAAGTCATATATGGCGTATTTTTCTATACGTTCAGACTAACTAAAATTAAAAAGATCTTTCTACTTATTTTATTAATTTATATAAAGATGGGGCTTTCCTGTAAATTACACAATTTAAATCAATCTCGTTTCAAAGACATTAGAAATTTTAAACAATAACCGATTTATTTACCAACACCGCATTTAATTAACTGACACACTTTAAAATCAATTTAGCTATGGAAACTTATTCAAGTTCAAAACCTTTGAAAATTTTAATTTGAACGTAAATAACATATATCATGTTTATCTACACTTAATCTCGTATGTTTATTTTTATTCTTTTTTTTTTTTTAGCTCAGATACGCAATATATAGCTTTAAATTTTATTTTAAATTCAAGTGTTACCAATAATGACTCAACGCAAATTGCGCATTTGAGAATAGATTATTATATATCGTTTTACTTTCATCGGAGGACGTGCTTCTTCACAAACAGGAAAGCCAAGAATTTAAATTTTACTTATGAAATGTAATATAAATCATAAAGTTGTCGTAATAAAATTGACAGTACATCAATAAAAAGAAATCCGTAGGTAAAACGTTACAATATATCGAAATTAAACAGTGGCTGCTCATAACTGTAAACAGTTATACTCGTTAAAAAATAAAATAAGCAGTCTACTGTAAGATTTATGAAGGAACTTAATAATGTATTTTAGTGTTTTCATAAAAAAGGAATACAATGTGATTATCAGTATCATTCATCAATACGATCAAACACTGATGGGAACTTCACCGAGGGTTTAAAACTGTTTTGACTTGTAGACACTTCATTGGAAACCAAATTTTCTTGTGATTCTTTCTCTTTTTTTCTTCTTTTCCTTCTTCCTAAAATAAACAAACAGCATCCACAACCAATCGTGGCTGCTGCCAGATAAACAAACACCACACTACCAGATACTATTCCAACAAGTGCATCTGGATCAATTCCTAAGTTAGTTGATTGTTTGGTTGTGCTTACGTTTGGGTTCTCTTGATTATGTACCTTTTCTGTTGTTTTAATTTCTGTATTTTCTTCTACCGAATTTGTTGTTGGCGGCACAGTTATTTCTGTTGTTAAAGTTGGTCTGGTTATCGCTGCGGTTGATATGTCTGATGTTGATTTGGTTGTTGTTTCTGATGTCGTTGATGATGCTGTTATTGATTTTGCTGTAATTGTTGCTTGCGCTGTATCTTCTAATAGCGTTGTTGATTCTACATCTAAATGTGTTGAAGCTGCTGTTGTTTTATCACTTTCTAATGTAGGGGACGTTGTCAATGATTTATCCTCAGAGTATTCTTTCGTTGATGCTTCTTGAATGGTTGTTGTTATTGCCGAAGAAGTTTCACTCAAACAATTAATCGATGATGTATCAAAGTTTTTCCCCGTGCAACTGTTTTCAATGGTCAACTCTGAACACTTGGGAGTGCATCCGCACGGTACTTCATCTAAAAATGTTAAACTTTTCAGAGAAACTATGGATTTTTTTTTTTACATTTTGCATAAAATTTTAAAAGGAGAAGATTTGCAGACTATATAGACAAAAAAAAACCCTTACTTTTATGTAGAACGTATAACTCGGTGTCAGTATGCGTACAGAAGTCACAAATATCGAGGTTTTCATCAGTCGATGGATACACTCTCTGTCCTTCATATATGCCTAATTATAAAAACGAACCATGTATCATTTAATTAATGCATGGGATCTCACAAAAAACAAATTATCCAACCAAATAAACCATTGACACGAAGACTACAGCGGTTATTACTGACTTATAGTTAATGTAAATATATTTGCATAAATTCAGAAAACAACTTACTTGTCATAGGAAAATAGAAGTAAAGAGATGAATTCTCCCTCTTGTACAACCAGCATTTGTATATGTATTTTTCCTCCGAGTTAATGGTCACTTTGTTTTGACTGACATAAAAATGTGAAAACAATTCATTATTATAAATGTAAATTTGGTAAAAGCTGAACATCATATTAAATGTTAAACTTTACAGGCTGTCAAAGATTTCCTGTTGTCCATAGCTAGTTTGTGATTTCACATTTTTTATGTCTACATATAAGAGTGCTTTTATCTGATATATTAGTATAATCTTATATTGACCTTTCAAGTTTTAGTTGCCTTTATTTCGTCATAATTTGAGATATACATGTATTACATTCACACCTACCATGTTTCTGATATATCTAACATATTTGTTGAAATACAATATAATTAAACTAGAAAGAAAGTGTTGTCCGTTCGATGATAATTGATTTGCACCTGAAAAAAATTGATATGAGTATCATTTTTAAATATACTGTGCCAATTTAGTCCCTTGTATTATAAAAAGAGTGCATAATCACTGTACCTTCTGAAAGCCATAAAATTTGTTTTGCTGGCAATAAAGTCCCACAATCGGTGCTGCGAAACACCAATAGTGATCGGCGGTATTATTAAAAAATGAGATGTATAGAAGTACAAGTTGCCATTTCCTTCATTGCTTTTGAAATGGAATTGTTGATCTCTTAGTTCTGTTGGGAAGTCCATCAAACATGTTGCATGTTCTGAAAAAAAAACAACATCATTTCAACCATTTTATGTCACTTTTTACGTTTGCTATGTAAAACCCGTCTTTGAAACGATGATGCCGGCCCTTCAGGTCAAAAGTCTTTAAATTAGTAAACAAATATATTCGATTGCTTAGTTCAAAACACTTTCAACTTCTTCTGTGACGGTCATGCATTACGCATTTTAAAAGAAGAAGAGTTATTTGTTAATATTTTATGAAATATAAAGTTAACTTAGAAAAAGCGTCCATTAAATCTGTCAGTAATGAAAAGATGATCATCAGAAGCAGAAATGTAAAATGTGTTTTAGATTATACATGCAAATATCGTTGCTCTATTGGAAATGATGAAGTAAAAGGTATTCTAAACAAGAGGCTAAAGGACCTTAACGGTCACCTGAGCATGATTACACCAAAGAATGGAAATATTTTGGTAATTATATAATAAAGATAATTATATAATAAAATAAATATATAATGACTAAAATAAATAATATACAATAATATATGTGGTGGACAGACAGAGGGCACAGACCGTGACATCAAGTCAAGAATCGGCACGGCAAGAGCTGCGTTTACCACGGTAAAAAACATCTGGGACTCAAAGAACATCTGCATTACTACCAAACTGCGGATCCTCAACTCCAATGTTAAGTCCGTTTTAATGTATGGAGCAGAGACAAGCAGGGCGACTAAAACAACCCTGCAGAAGATCCAGACATTTTACAACACCTGTTTCAGGTGTATCTTCAACATCCGAAAGCCTGAAAGCATCACAAATGAAGAAGTAAGGAAGAGAGCAGAGCAGGAACCATTACAGAAGTGGGCTGGATTGGACACGCCTTAAGAAAGCCACCATTTAGCACCACACGCCAGGCCCTGAACTGGAATTCACAGGGTAAGAAAAAGAGGGGACGTTTAAGAAACACCTGCAGGATTGACAGACACGGGGGCAGAATTAAGGGTGCAAGGACATGACCTGGCACGACGCAACCAAAAAAATCCAAGACTCCTGTTCGTTGGAGGACTGTCGTCAATGGCCTATGTTCTCATGGAACGACAGGCCTAAGTAAGAAAGTAAGTGTAATAAAGCAAATTAAATTGCTATCTGCCAAAATTCTGAAAGACAAATTATTATTTGCCTGTATATGCCAGTGCTACCTAGACTTCCGCAAGATTTTAGAATGCACGAAATCAGACCAAAATTCGAGAGTTTTATAAAATGTTTTCATCAAAGGAACAATAAAAGTGACATTGATAAGTACTAGAAGCATTATACTGTTAATATGATGTGAGTTAGAGTAGACATTTAATTCGATTCGCATGTATCGAAAATCGACCCAAGAATGCCGCCTACGCTTGGAGGAGACGAATTTCCTCTTTTCATAATGGCGCCGGTTTTGACGTTTCATGGCAGGTCAAATATCAAAATATTGAAAAACGCCTGGAAAATGTCAGATATTTAGAGTTAGCCTGCTAGATGTCCAGGTGCAGAGAGGAAGATTTCCAAAGAATAAATGCATGATTACTGCATGATCAATAACGCCCCGCTCTAACACCAGAACCCTGCCCAGGGGCCGTGAATTCACAATTTAGGTATTGGAAGTCTTGCTCATGTACTGGGTTTGCCTGCTAAATGTCCAGGAGCAAATAAGGAAACTTTCAAAGAATGAAATACATTTTTTAATATTCGACCAGTAAAGCCCAACCCTAACACCAGAACTCAAGACCCATTGGAAATGAAATTCACAGTTTAGATAGACACACACTGTTCATCAAAACAATGCATCCGTCTGTACAATACACAGGGTAGGAAAAAAACTTACAATAATTAATGCATTTTCACTAAATGATCAATAGAGCCCCACGCAAACACTCAATGCCCTGACCCTGTTGCCAGGAATTTCACCAATTATAACCATGCACTTTGTCTGCTTAGTATCCAGGAGCAGAGTGGAAGAGTTTGAAGAATTTATTCATTTTCACTATATGACTAAAACAGCCCTACCATAGCACCAGAACACCTGACCCTCTGGCCATGAATTTCTCTATTTTTTTTATTTTCAAGGTTTTTAAAATTAAAATATTAAAGTTATTCGGCCTACTATGTTTTTTTTAATGTCATTTACATGTCACTTTCTTTTCTCAAGTTTGTGCAATAAGGCGAAAATCAAAATTAGACTCATTATATCACTAAACGTTTAAATTTGAAAATTATCAATCAATACAACAGTTCTTAGCAGGAGAGAGATCATATTTATATCATGATACATTGTTCGAGATGTTGTCAGGTTCAGTGGAAATGTTTTAAAGTTCATAATTACTGTAGCAATTATTTTTGAAGTTGATTGTGCGATTGACTTAAGTTCGATAAAGAGATGAGAGATTGTGCAGGAAAGAAATGCAGTCTTTAAGACAAGAATGTAAGAGTGTATGAAGACGTGTGTTTAAGCTGAATAGTTAGAACTGTCTCTATTGTTAGGTGGGATAATGCATAATTGGAAAATAACGTGGATTTAGACATCCGTATGAAATAAATAAGACTGATTTTTTTACACTACATTTCGAGTAAACTTTTAAAGTAGTGCCGTCAACTAACAAGATATTTTTAAACTCCAGATTTAATAAATCTATCTTCATATAAAATGTGATATACTTGATGAGTGATTATTCCATATGCATTAATTTTTGTAGAAAACTGGTAAAACGAACTAATTAAAAGTTAAAACAGTGGTAAATCATTCTTTAAGGTCAGTCGATACGTTCCTCAAATATATGTTTTGTATCTCTTGATATTATATAAAGAATTATTCATAACTGTCATTATCTTGTAATTTCTAAATTGTTTTAATATGCTTTTAAATAAAAGTACACCACAAATTGTGACATATGCCATTCAAAAGAGTACTAATATGGATTGTGTAAGAAATAACACCCTCTGGTATCTTTTCCAAATCCCTGGTAACATACCTCAATCATTTTATTAGGAAACTTTAAGTACCTACATTCAATGACAATTCTTGGAAAAAATAATACATTTTTGAGGAACGTGTCTTCTGACCTTAACTGCTTTTTTCGTTGGTGTTAGATGAAAATAACAGATCTGCCCATTCTACTTTCAATAAACATATTTTTAATCAAAGAAAAATACATTTTTAAAAAAAGGAAAATTCCGGATTCTGGAAGATACAAGCTTAAGAAATAGTAAAAGACAAGGTTGGGTTTATACAAGCAGACGAAAACATACAACTCGATATGAAATGGTTTACATCAAAAGTTAAGCTTTGTTTGATAACTTATTTTTATCTAAGTTAAAAAGCAGATTACATTTTTTCATGACTTTGTAATTCTTTTATCAATGCTGCATGAAATGGAAATTTAAAACACGTGGAAGTTTATCAAGAAGGCTATTCAAACTCATGTCTGTTTGTTTTTCTCTTTTTCTTTCTATTAAGGAAAATGAAAAAGTGAAAGAAATAAGAATAAAAAGAATACTTTTTCTTGAGCAGGCTTATAAAATTAATACAGATTGTTTGTTATCATATTTATATGGGAAAAAAATGAATGTCAACTTACCTGCAATGCAGGTGATCAATATGAGGATACAAACGAAAATGTTGCGATTTTTGGTAGGCATTCTTTGAATGTTTCACATTGTCATTCACATTTTCAAACCAAGCTCAATTTCAAATGACCAGTCATGGTATGAAATTGATATTTTGTCCTTTCACAGGGCTGCGTAGACCAATTCTAAAATGTTAACGACTTTTTATCAGACGGTGAGGTGTCCCAACCTTTTTATAAGATGGGGCACCTGATGTTTTGTAAAATTAACACCAAGAGTAATGAAAAAAATGATTTTCGTTGTTCGACGCATTTCATTCTAAAATTACATGGATCACGACGCCATTTTAACGACTTATGTCCGTGTCAAATTGCGGTAATGGTCTTTAAAAGAAAGCCTAGGGATTACATTTCCCGGCGGGTGGAATCAGTAAACGGAGAGTGACAACTCGATTATCATTACAGATAGGAATACACGTTACACATACCCTAATAATCAGTAGAAAGGATAGGGAATGGTGACAGAAATCTTTTTCTATGTTTAATGAACGTCTTTTAAAACAAATGGAGTGGCGATAGTAAAGTCAGTTAATGAACCTTTTCAGCCGAAGAAATAGAACAAAAGTACATATTAAGTAATTATTATGTCATCTATGTCACAGTAAAGAGGTCTTGTATAAGGAAATTATATGACTGTACGAAAACTGCATGTGATTAATTAAATAAATAAAATAAACATGCAGGTAAATAAATGCAAGCAGATTTTTTCTTTATTAATTTTTTTAAGAAGAAAGAGCTAGGTTCTTTAGACGCACGCATTGGATAAGACTAGAACAATTAAATTTATTATTACGGTATATTATAATACAGTAGAAAAGAGCTTAAAATCATGCATTTTCTTTAAGAATGTTCTTTTGAAAGGCCAGTACTTGTGCAATTGAAAAGCAGAAAGGCCAGTGCTTGTGCAATTGAAAAGATCATGAATTTTACTGAGGACAGAGTATTTAAGTAAAATATATAAAGAATCTAAAAATGAATAATTATTATAATAATTTCCAAATATCAATAGAAGTACAACTTGTTACCTATTAAAAAAAAAAACAACTTAAAATATTGGCCATTTTGAACGAAACGTCATAATACGTCATAATACCTTGACTCTTCATATCTCCTCTCCCGCCGAAATATGGCTGAAATATTGCCGACTCGGCGTAAAACAACTGTTCAATAATCAATCATATCTCCTCTCTCCCTCATACTTGTGGCATCCTTGGCACTGATATACATATCCATTTTGTCTAACTTATCTTGATTCTCTCACTCTCCATCTTTATTGCTAGATTCTGAAATAGGTCATAATTAGTTTAATAAATTTATAATTTGTTTTATCTAATTTTGTCTTAAGATTTTCATGATATGTTACCTAAGAATGAGGACTGTGTGGGTTTACAAAGGTTGTGTTTTATATCAGTTTAATCTAGTTTTTCATAAAAAAAAAGTTTAAATTTGTCATGATATGACATCAAAATTTCAGTTTTTTTATCATTTAAGAAAACAATTCCTATACATGTAGTTGAACACAAATGTTATATACATTCATCTCTAAGTCACAACCTTGACATACATGACTCTTTTCCTGATTTTTTCCTATGGTACACATGATGAATAAGTGTAATAAATATAATTTGTGAAAAAAAATGTCCAACAAACCTCGGGGTTTAATGTACCTGTTCACAGTACCTGTGGAAGGAACGTAAAAAACAACCAGTCTTCAAATTAAAGAAGCAAAAATGATCGTTCATAGTAAACTTCCTAAACTAGTACAATGAAATGGTAAAATCACTCCTGATGTTCGAATAGACATCAAAATGACCCCGAATCAAATTCGTGGTGTATACAATTTCCTCCTTTCGGAGTTCTATTTTTCATCTAGCAACTTCTTTTCAGTTTTCTAATCAAGCAGATCTAGGCTTAAGGAAGCAATTTTAATATTGGGATGGGGAGCACAACCGCTTCCAACCAAATTCTATGCCAAGTAAAACAGGGTGTTAGACAAAATCACAGAGTGGGCACCATTGTAAATTAGCATTGGTTTTCTATTGCATGGTGTATACTGGCACAAATGGTAACACCCTATACCCTTTCTAGATTCCTACCCTTGATTAATTGTAGGTTGTTTAACGTCCCATTCGAGGATTTTTCACTCATGCGCAGACGACCACTGGTTTAAGTGAAGTACCATATACAAGTATTATGACCTACATGGCGCATATGGTCGTAGTAGTGCCCATACCGTGGTGTCTGTTTTAAAGGCCTCTTCTAAAAGATCCATGACTTCTTGTGCCAGGCGGTAGGAAAAGGATACAGAACTTAGATTGGACGCGGTGTCGGAACTCCGGATCATAATGTTATTGTTTTTTAACACTAGGCTTTCGCGACCTAAGAGTTTGAGGTCTGTCTCAAAAGCCCCTTTAATTCTTATAAGCCGACTGAGTTCGAATGTGATTAAATGTGTAATGGCCATGCATCATTTGAAGCTGGTTTCCTAAAAGATTCCTTCAGGTTCGTTACAGATATGGTTTTAAATTGAATTTAATATCGTTTTTCTCCAAAACTGTTCTATCGTTTTCAGATTGGATTCTCTCTGTGCTTGTCATGTAAGGTATTCGTAGTTTCAATACTGTCTGCAATTATTGAATTTATTGCAAATGAAATTAGCAAAATGTCATCTTCAAAAGCTACGGGTATTGATGGTTTGTCTGTAAACTTTTAAAGTTGTCTTTTAATCAGATAGGTAATATTTTACATTTTATTTTTAATGAATTTATATTTTCATGTACATTTGTTGATGCCTGGAGAAGAGCCAGAGTAGTTCCATTGCATAAAGCGGGTGATGTTCATCTATTAAACAATTACAGACCTGTATCGATTTTGCCAGTTATAAGCAAAATTATTGAACGTCATATTTTTAATTCTTTTTATGAATATTTATCAAAGAACAAATTAATAACTGAAAGTCTATCAGGTTTTCGGCCAAGTCATTCATGTGAGACTGCGCTAAACAGTCTTACAGATAAATGGTTTAAAAACATGGATGATGGGAAAATTACAGGAGTTTTGTTTATTGACCTGCGTAAGACTTTTGATAAAGTCAATCAAAAAGTTCTTTTACACAAGCTTAAGTCGTTTGGAATTTGTCAAAATACTTTTAAATGGTTTCAATCTTATCTCTCAAATCGTAAGCAATGTGTCAGTTGGCGAGGTGTGTTGTCTCGAGAAAAAGATATATCTTAAGGTGTCCCTCAAGGGTCAATTTTAGGACCATTATTATTTATTCTATATAAAGTGTCTTAAACACTCTTCGGTTACAATGTATGCAGACGACACCTCACAGGACGTAAGCGATAAATGTATAGATGTTATAGAGAAAAAAATTCAAGAAGACTCGAGTTAGGTATTGAATGGATGAACAAAAATAAACTCGGTATAAATCTCCAAAAAAAAAAACGCAGTGTATGCTTATTGGCACATCTAAAAGGTTGCAGAAATGTAGAAATCTTAACATAAATTTTAGTGGTGTGCAGATTGAATTTGTGAAACAGGCCAAATTACTTGGTGTTTATATTGATAATTCCTTATCTTGGGATGCTCATGTTGATTTTATTTCAAAGAAAATTTTAAGAAAGCTTGCTGTACTAAAGAGAGTGAGTTATTTTATGCCACCAAATGCATTACTTAAGGTTTTTAATAGTATTGTATTTCCTCGTTTTACTTACTGTTGCACTGTTTGGTGTAATGTTCAAAATCAAATGTATTTAGAAAAATTATTTAAACTCCAAAAGAGGGCAGCTAGAATACTCTTAAATATTCGAGATATTTTAACTCCTACCAGCTTTTTATTTTCCTGTTTAAATTGGATGCCAATCAAGGATTATTTCATGTTTAAACAAGTCATTTTTCTATTTAAGGTTTTAAACAACCAAATGCCAGATTATCTTAATGTGTTTCAATATACAAGAGATAGCAGTTGTCGCCAAACCAGGTTGAATGATTGTATGTCAAATCTATTATATTTACCACGAGTCAAAACAGAAAATTACAGACGTTCATATAGCTATTCGTCTGCATTTCTTTGGAACAAACTATCACAAAATGTTCGGAACTCTAGCTCAGTGGGTATTTTTAAATCTGTATATCTTACTGAGTATTTTAACAGATTCACTGTTACTGTTTACTTAAGGGTAGGTCGTGGTAATCTCGACCACGGTTCAATTTCGACCACAACAATGCAATGCAATAAAATGATTTACCTGGGACATATTGAAATAGGTCCATCAATTTTCAGAAGTGTTGAAACAAGTTTCAAATATCCGGAATCAAAAGGAAAATGCATATAAAATTGGTTTTATCGTTTAATTATTTAATCGCATACGTGTGTTTGATGCTTAAAATCCCTGTCTCCAGAGCGCTTGACTTTACTTCAGCAAATTACAAGAGAGACAACTCTAACGTCCTTGAAGAAAGAACTGCGAACGATAGTATTGTTCTCCCGCCTACCTCCAAGTCAATTTTCAAAAGTGAAGATATTCGAATGATTTTTAATATTTATATTGATATTTATATGGATTTTCGTAAAACATCACTTCTTTGGGAAAACAACGAGAGATAACTCTAAAATTTTGGTAAAACTCGTGTTTTTCACTATAGAAATCAAAGGAAAACGGAAAATATTTTTAAAACATCTTTCTCCCCCGTGAAACAAAAATTCCTTTTTACGGGTAATATGGACTGCCATTTCACAAATTCATACCAAAGCTTTTTGTGTTTCACGGGGGGGGGAACATATGTTTATATACAAAAAACGACAAAAATGCTTATTTTTTCAGCAATTTTCAAGTGCTTTACAACTGAAACATTATATTTTACTAATAAATATCCTTAGTTTTGTATGCATAAAACATAAGAAAAAGATTTAAGAAACATTTATTCATATCCAAGACTATTTCAGAATATGGTGATGCTTTATAGCCCGATTTCAGTGGAAAATATCGTCTACCCCCCTTATTTCAAGAGCTGGAATTAGGGATATTTTACTATTTAGCACTGGAATTAAAATAATTAATCAATTACCATTGAACTGTTCTTTGTATTAAACAAAGATTTTATGGCCAAATTGTCATCAATATTGAATTAAATGGTTGTAAAATGTAGGCGGGAATCAGGAGTTACCGTGCGTAGTTCTTTAATCTCTGTCGACATTTGACAGTACGTACCAGATTGACACAGTTTATTTTCCATTTTGCATTCCTTAATGTTACAAATTTTTACAGTTTTGAATTTGATTTTTCAAAGAAAGCACAAAAAATATCCACTTTAGTTTGGTCGAAATTACCCCGGTGATTTTTTTGGACGCGGGGTAATTTCGACCAGTTAGTCTGCGTGGTTTATCTTTA